GAACTGCTTCCTGGAACTCGTATATTTTCCTCTGTTGATGTTCAATGTCTTGGTTGAGATACTCACACTCATCGGAACACAATAATGCGCACCTTCGACTCTATAATGGTTGCGATAGACTAGGTACACACCATCTTTAGTAAACCTGTTTCAATCAGATTCTAACAATAATAATAGTAATTTAAGTTCAAACTTATCTGCTACGAATTATTATGTGAACTCTCAAAAATATTGAATATATAAAATGTATTGGAAGGATTTAAAAAGAAAGTAAGAACATCGGCTGATGAACGCTCACTGATCGATTGCGGAACTCACTCGCCCCGTTCTGCCTTAAGATACGCTCTGGAGCTCTGCACAGTGTAGACTTGGCTGATAAACGGTAATGAGCCATAAAGAGCCAATCCAGACTCACTTCTCTTTGCGATATCTTTCTGCCTATAATATACTTGTTGCTAGGCAGCTGTTGGAGGAACACGAGCGTGAGCCCCAAGGCAGAGAAGGAGGAGTGACTCCCGTAGCCGATCCGCCAGCCTTCATCAAGAAATGTCAACCCCCTGATCTAAAACTGGCAAAACAACGATCACGTGGTGCAGTCGGTTAGAACTTTGAACTTCTACTCAACAGATCTGGGGTTCAAGCTTCAGGTGACGTATAACCTGGGGTTGTGTATGCTGACTGATGACGGCTAATGAGCCAGAAATTGCAATTTAACGTTCGCTCTTATCTTTGTCGGCAATATTCATTTGTCTTTAAACTGAACAGACGGATAAAAACTGCATCAAGCGTATTCTACTTTAATTTCGCCTTCATTCGTGGCCTTTGTTGCCCATACAGAGCATTTTTGCTTCAGGAAACCAACAGATCTGCGTACGCCCACTCTTGCTCATGTAATATGTGTTTTTGGTTATAACGTATTTATATAGATAAAAAAACTAACACGGCGAAAAAAGTCAAAATTTGTAATCAAAATCTGAAAATAAAGCAACATACTTCAACCGACCAGATCACGTGAACAACATAAATGACAGGACCTAGTAGCAAGTGGCCTGCTACTGACTAAACACAACCAAACCTCGCATGGATTGGACTTTGAACAGCTCGCCGACGAGTGTGAACGCTGACTGACCAATGTTCTCCCGCAGGTAAGACCTGTCAAAAACAACTATATTGGGTCCAAACACTCACGAGGGCGGCAACCAGATAAATGAAGAAACCAAACGAACATTTGACCACACAACCGCGGTTCACTCAAAAGTAGCAAGCTAGCAAAACACATTCACCATCAGCGCAACAATAGAAAAAAAGGACACAAGTACCAAACCAACCCGAAATAGGGGGATTTTTTCAGTTCCGTCCTGTTTACGAGCTTCTGAATCTCTCCAGGTGGTATCTAGACTGTTTGCATGCCATTTTCAGAGCACGGCTTTTATACCAGGCCTGCGTGGGTGGCAGTCCTGGCGGATCGAACAAAAGCGCGCGCGCGTGGCAGACTGTGACGCACTGCTGCAATGCTTAGCAGGCGAGACTTTTGTGAATCAGCGCAATGACGCAATGACCACGGACTGCCGCAACTCCACCGGGGTTCACGTAAAGTCACATTATGTGATGTTGCGCATTTCGTACTAACTGATTACGTTGATCTACAATCCATACGGGTACAAACGCCGTAACGAAAAAGGAGCAGCCCAGCTAGGTGAACCTCTAGGGACTAGCTCCACAGGGAGTGCACTTGTGAGTGCTTGTCGTGACTAGCTTAAGTCGAAGTGCACTTTTAGAGCGCTCGATGTGTTCCGGTCTCTGTAACAGCCAACCCCAGACCGACTCACACAGGACCTCATTTGACGACTGCCGAGCAGACCTCACTTCAGACGCCGCCCATTGGCTTGCGATTGCGCGGGCGTATGTTAGTCATTTTCCTACTGCATCTACTCCAATACACTCTGTAAATAATATATTCTTCCTAATACTCTCATGACTTTTCTCGTCTCCTAAGGAACCGGGCGTGGAAGATTGAAGCCGTCGCAGCCGTTTGGATTAAATTATAATAACCTTAACACACCCCTCGATAAACCTACGTTCTTTGTCTTCATTTACTGTGGATAAAAATCCATCCTGCGCTTGCTATTACAGAGGACTGACTGCATTTTGACTCCAACCACGAACATTCTGTATGCCTGAATGATGGCCTTTTCGAAGTCTGCTTCCACAACACTGCTGTTGCTGCACATATTCAGCTCTCCTAGTGTATAAGTGTCAATTCTGACATTCACTGCAGGCCGGTTTGTCTAAGAACAGCTTTTATTTCATGTAAGAGTAAAAATCGTCGCCGATCAGGTTTTCACTGCACTTCCTGTCTATAATCCCCCCATAGAGGCTCACGTGGCGTCGCCCACTCAGTATTCAGTAGATAACACCGGCAACTAGTGATGTCAGATAGTGGCTAGATCGTAACTCGTTGATATGCCTCGGTAACTGGTCCTGACCAGTCAGGAAGCGAACTCGTGACTTGCCTGGAAGATTGATAAAATAAATCAAAATGGTAATTCCAGCTGTTCACAATTATCTTCTTAGGTGCCTATTTTTAAAATAGTCTATCTGGGTAGTTTAATGCATTGTATAAATTCAAACTGCAGCGTTCGGCAGTTGTTATCTCATTCATGCAAAGACAGGAAGCAGTTGAATAGCTTTCCCGAACTTTGTTTTTACAAATGAATCCTGATGTGTACGCTTGCTTTAAAATATCTGCATTTTGCCTCAGTGATTTAACGTTAATGTCCATTTTTCTATGAGTAAACCGGCGTTAGAGATCGAATTACGGACACAAAGCTATTTTCTTATAAAAAATAATGAGCCAAAATTTATCAAATCGTTGTAACCATATGAGTTCATACGGCGATAATATTTTCGCTCTATCCAAACAACTAGAATATAGTCTTGAGTCGTCGGTACTCTCGATGGTCGGACTTTCAAGCGGTTACGATTTCATGCGTCGAGCAATCAATCAAACGAATAACTGAAAACGTTCGCATCCCAGGTATTTATTGCTTGTTGTTCGTGGACGCTTTTATCGCTGGCGATGGACCTGCGCAAGAGCCCGACAACTCAAGACAATAAACCAATTGATCCGGTGCTCGACAACCTTTCTTCCTTATTCCCTAAACCTAACATTATACATCTATATGGCGATGTTCCCGCTGACCACAATTAAGAAAAAGGGTGGAGAAACACGAAGCGTACTCACTAAAGGCCATGATTAAGGCGTTCAAAGCAGGAAACTGATTGTTTTTTATTTGCCAATAAATATGAACGGTAGAGGTTGCTATTCTGAAGAAAAAATATTCTGCGATGAAGTGTTCATTGAAGCATTGTTTTCCCGGAAGAAATTTGAACAAGGCAAAAATCAATAGATTAGCAGAATTTAATGACCTCATGCAATTTCGTGACCTCTCATTCAGCTGCAGACGGTCGTTGCCTATTAATCAGATAATTAACTGTCCAATTAAGTGTCAGCCTCGAAGGGTGAAATTTAATAGGTAAAGGGTGCAGAAACAATTAGTCATAGATGTGGGCACATGGTGAGGGGTAGAGGAGGGGGAAGCTAATTGTCACAGCATGGCAGTTCATGTAAGTGCATGTTCATGAAAGCCTGTAG